CGCACGCAAGTGGACAATTTCACTCAAAAGGCTTCAGACCAAGAAGAACAAGGGAATAAAGACGCAGCCCCAGCCACGGTTGCTGATATTAATTAGGATAGTGACTAAAAATACGACAACGATCTGCTGACCGTCGAAAGACAGTTGGGACGGCAAAAAATTACATAAGAGTTAAGGAGTTAAAAAACATAATACATGTGGACTCCTTATTTACTGTGACATAAAACTTACGCGACAGCAGTTTATATTAGGGATGAGCGATATTTACTCAACCCGTTACAAGTAATAAGTATTTAAAAGTAACTAGTTACTGCTGTTACAGCTTCCAAAAGTAACAGCGATAAAAAATCATCCTATGACATGCACGGATAGTAAACCAAGGGTGTCCTTTTTGGTCGTTGTTTACTCAAAAGATTGATGCCTAAGAGATTTCTACGACGATAAGACAAATGACTGGATCAATGTTGATGGCGAAATTTGTATACACTTTACACGAATATATATTTTTCAGCATTTTTTATACATTTTAAAAACTTGCACAGTTTTTTAATTTCTATGGTTGCTGTCTTGTCTCCCCTGCTTGCCTATTATTATACTTGTTGTAGAGTTGAAGTCTTTATAACATATCTATACTCAGGTTGAGTACTGTGTCCGAGCTGAGTACTGTGTCACTGGCCTGTACTCAGGTTGTTCCTTTCGTACTCTTCAAAGAGCTGTGTACTGTGTCACTGGCCTGTACTCAGGTTGTTAATTTCGTACTCGTCGAAGAGCTGAGTACTGTGTAACACTCAGTATTCAGGGTTTTCCTTTCGTTCTGGCTGCAAAACCTAAGATCTGTGTAACTTATGTGTACTTGGCTGTTATTTTGAACTTGCAACTATACGGCTTCTTAACTAACTAGCTAACAAATAATATAATATAATATAATAAAAATAACATATATATTATACATGAGAACATAAAACTGCGCGCCTAAAAGTCAAGTAACAGTCGCTGTAATTTGTCTCTGAATTTTTTTTGTTACTGTCACAGTTGTCACTGTGATACAGAAATAACACTATCGATCATCCCTAGTATATATTACAACGTGTCAGAACCGTTGCGGTACCATATTTGTGACAACGTGAACTTCACAGGTGTCCATGATAGAATAGTCCTCGGGGTGGTAACGGATTAGTTTAAAGAAATGATGCAAAAGAGAATTAAGATATTTTCACCCTCTAAAGAGGCGTTGCCCTTCAATACATCAGTCCTCGCCACAACACTTACCGAGGATAACAAGGCGGTATACTCCAAGTTATACCCATATCCAATGGGCGTGGCAGATTTAGTAAACAACCAAATAGAAAAATGGTTAAAGGTTGTCATTGTCAAACCATCAAAGTCCCCATACAACAGCACAGTCTGAGTTCTTGACAAAAAATTATTAACGGCAATAAAATCAAGCAAAAGAAGCGAACTATTGGCAATCGCTATGCATGCCACAGATTCTAGCGAATCTGGGAAAGGCCAAGTTTTTCACTACATTTTAAATGAAAACTGGATATCACTGAAATATTGACGCAGTACTTCAGCGTCTATGCGTCGCTAACATGAGAATTTCCCAAGAAAAGATAGAACTTTTTAAGGAAAGCGTCGACTATTTGGGCCTCATAGTAACTAGAGGACTCGCATTCTAAGGTCTTCTCTTAGCCTGGCTAGTTATTACAGGGTATTTATAAAGGACTTCGCAATCATGAAGAGGCCATTAACTAATAAGGGGGAAATGGCTCAGTTAGTAAAAATATGTTAAGGAAGGTATAGATAGAATTTTACAAAGCACAACGTAAAGCATTCGAACGCTTAAGAAATATCATGGCGTTAGAAGACGTTAATGTACCCAAATTTTAAAAAACTTTTCGAGACTGACCACAGAAGCACTTCCAAGCGGCATCGGAGCAGTTCTATCCCAGGGAGGAAGACCAATAACAATGATATTAAGAACATTGCAGCAAAGTGATTCGCAGTATGCTCCCAGCGAAAGAGAATTGTTGGCCACTGTGTGGGCTCTCGGTAAGCCCAGAGAGTTACATATGTTTACTGACCACCAACCTCTAACGTTTGCAGTGTTAGAAAGAAACAAAAAATTCCAAAATCAAAAGATGGAACGCATTTATTGAGCATAACGGGAAAGTGCAATATAAACCGGAAAAACCATATGCCCTATCCCGACAGAAAGTGAATGCTTTACAAGATTAGCCGCAGCCTGACACAACCATGAGATTTCGTTTTGACCTACATGGTCGAAAAAACCGAAAAGACCTTAAAATGTTTCAGGAAACAAATGATTCTAGAAGAGGGGCATTATCCTCTAAAACGAAATATACTGTTTGGCAACAAACCCGCAACATCATATACTTCACAGACAAATGCACTCTTATGGAGATACTAAAGCTTGTAGTAAATCCAGATGTTGTAAATGCTTTCCATTGTGACCTCCCAATCTTGGCCAGTTTTCAACATGGGTTGGTACTTATGCTTCACAGCAATTAAGTTCTGGCACTGCAAAAAAAGAGCAAGTGGAGGTAATCACCACCGAGCGCAATCATGCACACAGACCAGCCCATGAAATAGTGAAACAAATGCTTCATGATCATTATTTTTAAAAAACGGCTAAGTTGGCTAGTGAGGCTATCCAAAACTGCAAAGTATGCACTAGAGAAAAGTGGGAAACGCCGATAGTAGAGAATTCCGGTGAAATTTTGCACATTGTCATTATTCTATACTGACAAAAAACAATTTTTAACCTGCAACGACAAGTTCTAGAAATTCGCCATTGTGCAACCCATCACATCTCGAGCGATAGCCGACATAACAGTCGGTTTGCAGCTAATAAATTCGTTACCAAAAACAAAGGTTATCTATATCAATACTGAAGCATAGAAATCAGTCAATATCTATGTCAATTATCGTTAATTCCCCTTCAATTAATAGCAGCTCAAATGAACAAGTTGAACGTTTTCACGTAACTTTAGTAGATATTGCCAGGTGCTTAAAAATTGACAAAGAAATTAACGACACAGTCCAACTAATTATAGGAGAAACAGTGGAATTCAACAAAGAACTTCACTAGGTCTGAGCAAAGACCAATTGACATAATACACGTCGAACAAAAATCTAACAGATGGCGTAACCTGGACGGACAAAGCTGGACGTTGCATAAGAAATAAAAAGAGAAAAGGCAAAAGGTTGTCCCCGTTATGCTCTGTAGAGATCTATCAAGCAGACCTGGCTGGCCTTACCAAGGGGAGGGTGGTCCATAAGGACAACCTAAGATACGGCCCTTTTATACCCAACTATATATTATATGGCTAGTAATAGAATCTAAAACAGTACTATAATTTAGCCTAACTAATCTTTTCAAGCTCGTGGGAGCACTCTTCACCTTAAAACCAATAATAACTTGGATCAACGACTACTCCCATGCCCATTACAAACCTGTTGCCATGGGAACAATATAGGTATGTAAGGCATTCAAGTAACTTGAACAGCATCGCAAATATTTTAAACGACGCCGCAAAATGTCCGATTTAGAGCATTTTGGAAATCTCTAATCCGTGTTTTAATGATGATAAGCCAGAAGCCTGGATTTCCTATGCACTGCATTGAAAGTTGTTGCAGAATGCAACAAGAGCGTTTTAGCTGTTACCGATTGTATCATGAACAACTAACTACTCAACCTTTCCATAAATCAGACCACGAACCTGCGCCCGCGGGTGGCACTCAGGGGGCTCAGCCCTTTGCCATACTTAACCCAGCGACCTTAACCCCATCACCTTGGTGGACGAGGGTATCATCATTGTCAACGAGCAATCAGCAAGGGTCAGTACAGATGTTGGACCAAGGATGGCAATTAATGGCACACATCTTACCACGTAAAGGGTCGTCCAAGCGCTGGTGTGCCGTTGGAGCAGGACTCAGCCTTTTCTTCAGGATTTCCACCTCTGCCAGCATCTGAGGAGAAGACGATCTTCGAGAGAAATGCAGAAGGTCGTAGAAATGACCGAGGACGGTCATAATTTAAGCGGGGGATTAGTAACAAAAGCGAACACGAACAATCATGATGCTGACACATTAAATAGTTTAGTTATTGCCCTGGGAGCAACGGCCGCACCAATAGCGAAAAGCTCTGAACGAGGCGCAGGGTCTGTGTTTGAGCTTATGCAGCCGGTGATGCCTTGCGGAAACGCAAAATTAGCTTAGCCAGGAAGAAAATAGTAGGATCATATGCGATATTCAGTTTTTTTTTTTATAATTTACATGTTTTTGCTGTTTTGCCTTGCTTGCATTGCCAATGCACGGTCTGCTTTCTAAGCCTTTTGTTATTTTTGCTTTTAAAAAAAATAATGAGTCGCTATTTTAGTTTAAAACTGTTGTGTAGCACATTAGCTAAAGATAATTAAACAAGACGATGCTTGTCCTTTCATTAAATTTGTATTAAACGAATTTATTTAACTTAATACAATAATAATTTATTTAAAAATGGCATCAACTTACAATTCAAATTGGGTAGACTATTTTAAAATCGCCATACAAAACACTTTGTAGTGTCAACTTATCAACATTGAATTTACTGAATTACTCAAAAAGTGTACATTATGTTTGCATTGAACATGAGATTATGAAAAGAAACTTATCTGATTATCTTAACAGCTTTGCCAAGCACATGTAAATGTTAACTTTAATAAAGTAAATGCAACAAGGAAGTAAAGTAAACTAATTTAACGATTAAAGTCTATTCCACAATGTCCACAGATTATAATATTAGTATGTAAATAATATTATTATTTTAAAATTATTAAAAAATAAAAATCTATCAATTGACAAATCTAACTGCAAAATGTTACAATGAAGAGTTTGTACAATGTAGAAGTCTTCGGAATACTGATTTTAGCTAATTCATAAGAGAACCTATATATTCGTATATTCCAGTTATTAATTTAATTTGTTCGGGTACGCACCTTCTAATAGTTGTTAAAAGTATCTCAACTTTTACAATTCGATTATCTCCATTCGCTAATTTTTCCGGTCCAATACATATGAATGTCAGTGATTTTGAAGTTAGGCAGCAATGATAACTTCCAGTGATTCCAACATGTACAGACATTCCTTTCTTTTGGACAACAACTTGCCAAACATATTCTAAAATAGAAATTGAATATTTAAAAGTTTATTTAAAGTTTATATAAATATATCAGTATCAATAAGCAGCGACTTTGGCCTTAGTTTATCTGTCTTTTGAAAAGCGAAAGATCCTTGTTGCCATAGTGTTTAGAGAAAACCCACCTGCAATAGAATTTTTTTATCGCCTCAAATGTATGGACGTTTATCACCTTAGTATTAATATTCTTTATTCTTTCCCTAACAAAAACTTACTCACAAACACAAAATTCTGCAATCTGCATACATTACGCTATGACTCTGTTTCATCTTTGATCGGATCTATGCAGTTCATGTTTTTAGTCCTATCTCTATTATTTTTTCAGTTCATAAATATGGCACTAGGGCAAACTCTTTATTAATTTTTCATACTATTCAAATTTAAAAACTATTACTCTCAGTTTTTAATTTATGACCAATCACCGAACTAAATATTTGCATGAGGCGAAAAAATTTGGATTTAAATTTTCGGACATTCTTTAGAGTTCTACGAAAGCTGACAATGAATTTCTCCTACAGAAACAGAGCAAAGACGTTTTTTGATTATTGCGCTTCTTGGAAAAACTTTGTGAGATAAATAGTCCGTGGATTTTATTAATCTCTCATATTATATACACATTAAGAAAACAAGTAAAATGCAGCTCGCGCTACGTGCTCGTTTGCTTTAGTAGTAATAAAGACAAATTAAAAAAAAAGTTCCCTTGGCAGGGTTTGAACTCGCAACCAACCGCATTACTTGCTGCCGCCTCTACGCAACAGCCACACCAGCAAAAAAGAATATAAAAATTAGTATCCTCGTAGGGTTCCAACTCGTAACTGACCGCGCCACTTTCCAACGCCGCTACTCAGTAGCCACACTAATAATCAAGTCTTGGTGAGAAAAAGAACTAATTAAAATAGCAACACAGAAAACAAACAATCGCAATTGCAATGCTGTTGATAGAATTCAAAGAAGACCCGCATGAATGTGTGTGTGTACATGTATACAAAAAATCTTGGAATTTGCGCTTGCTGCTGCGCGTGTTTGCAGGCCAAAATACATTTTCTATCGTGTTTCTTAACCGATCTTGATGAAATTTTCAGTAATAGATCTTATGGTACTAAAAAATATTCGTGTATTTTCAAAATGACAATTGCATTTGAATTATGGCTTAATTAGATAGGCAATACAAGTTGGTTTAGTAACATGATTTATAGCTTTCAGGTGGCAGCGGGGAGATGGCTATAGCTATAAAATGAAACATATTTGATATATATATATAGTATTGTAGAAGCTACATGTCAAGTTTGGTGACTCTAGCTCTTATTATTTACCAAAATTGCTGAAATAAAAGGATTTCGATATCGATTTTTATCTATTACTTGGAAACGGGGCAAGTTACCGATTATCGGAAACCAACTCGATCTGCGCATGGACTAGGAGGACATAAAGCTAAAATTTCAAGTCTCTAGCTCTTATAGGTTCTGAGATCCTTGCGTTCATACATACGGACAGACGGTATATAGTTTATGGGGTCGGAGATGGTTCCTTCTGCCTGTTACATACATTTGCACAAATACATTATACCTTTTTTTCTCATTTTCAATGGGTTTAGGGTATAAAAATAGTATACAAACCAAGCATCTAACATGCTTATTGATCTTAAAGAGAACTAAGCTCATAACATTTCAGGGTTGCATGAAAGCATAGCCTTCTGTATTAATAGGTCCAATGTCGTAACGCACATTCTATCTGAGTCAAGTTATATTAAAATCGAAATAATACATCATATAGCTACCTATAGTTATTATTTAAAGCTAATATATTGTATTTTTGGAAAACTACAATTCTACCACAACTTGCTTTGTGAGCAAATCCCAATAAGTTTGCACAAGCAGTTTGCTGCCAAACCATTCGTTCGTGCATCCGCTGCTTCAGATCATGGCAATCTAGCCGCAGATAGACTACAAGCCCTCCGCGCATTCAACATATATGCCTTTGATTTTTGTGGATGGTTATTTTCGTTTGTTTTGCCCCAAGGTGGTCCAAAGTGAAGTCGGATCTCACCAATGGTGCACTGAAATGCACAACTCAGACATTAACGACGGAGAGGCCTTCATAGGCAACACATTCCAGACAGCCCTATCGAGGGAACTCCAGGGCCAAGCCAGTATAACCTTGATTCGTCGATGGCGCAATGTCTCGAACCTCAAACACAGGCTTTGGAAGCGATGATCTCGGAAGTACATTACCAGCAATCAAATCTGAGGCAAGTGGAGCAAAGAGAAGAAGGTACCCCCATGAATAATAGCGACATTCGATGGGTAATCTTGAGGGCGTCTTAAAGCGAGAGGTCGGTTAGCGGTGCTGGCAATTTGGCACGCCCTAATTAAAACAATTTGTAGTCTTGTGTAAGTAGTTAAGGGCAGGGTGAATCAACAGTTGGATTTGTCGCTGGTGTTTTTTCACCTTAAGAGAATCTAGACATAAACTAAAATCCAACGCATCTTTTTTTTGTTTCGTCTTACTTAATCGATAATTTCAGAATTTTTTAATTTGTTTTATTATATAAACTTATATAATATTTCATGGCGCCCCCGGGTGGACTCTTTTAAAAGATAATTGTGTGTAAAAAGAAACTCAAGTGGTTTAACTGCAAAGCTGTTTCTCGCGAGTGAATTTAAATTAAAAATACAAATAAATTCGCGTCGGTCGGAAATATTTAAAAAATAATAATAAATCTGTTGGAGAATGCCAAGGAAAGTAGCTTCCAAAGTGGAACGTCCGGAACAGCAGGAATCAAATAATAAAGGGTAAATTAAACCTAGACTCTACAGAGTTAGAATGTAGATTAGAAATGCTGGCCTCACATATAGATACAGCGATAAATTTCAGACTCGAGTAGAAACTTTGACCCAGATGATGAGTATCGTGCCGAGCTCGAAGAACTTTGTATAACGACAAAGGCTCGTCTAAGGTCCGTTGTCAAGACATTGAGTCCTGCACCGCCTAAAGACAAGCCCGTTGCGGCTCCATGCACACGTCTTCCGCATCTGGCACTTCCCAAGTTTAGTGGAAAATACTCCGAGTTTAAGAATTTTATTAGCTTGTTCGAAACCCTTGTTTCTTAACGATCATGCGATCCCGAGCATAGAGAAATTCAATCATCTGATCTCATGTCTCTCAGGTGAAGCTCTAGGCACTGTTAGAGCGTTTCAAGTCACCGAAGACAATTATTTAAAAGCATTGGACAGCCTAAAGAGAGTATACGACAATGAATGTCTAATATTTAATGAAAATATTTCGGCCCTCTTTAGCCTGCCAAAAATAACGCAGCCTTCTGCGGCATCATTGAGATCAATGATTGACATTGTCTCCGCCATCTATGGCTCGCTCCTGTCAATAGGTGATGACAAAAACGCGATTCTTATTCACCTCGTTATGAACAAAGTTGACCCAATGACCAGACGAAAATGGGAGGATCAACTCGATTATGCAATCATTCCACTATGGAGTGATTGTGAAACAGCCTTGAATCGAAGTTATCAACACCTTTCTGCTGAAGAATCAGCCAAAGCTTCGTCCGATGGACCGAAGCCAGAGTCAAAGGCTGTTTCCAAAAACAATAGTCGAGGTTCGTTTTCGTTTTCTGTGGCTAGTGGAAGAAACGATCAAGTGACCCCAAAATGTTTATATTGCGGTTTCCAAGGCCATTCGATATTGAATTGCTCAGCATATGCCGCGTTATCAGTACAGCAGCGGTTTGAGTTCGCTAAGGCGGCTCCTTTATGCATCAATTGTCTTCTGAAGGGACACACTGTTGCCAAATGTAAGGCAAACAAGTGCAGAGTATGCAGTCGTTCTCATAACACACTGTTGCATGGATACTCTGCCGTTTCTAACACTCGAGCGTTACCACCACCCCTTGACTCCGCACAGGATCAACCATCGACTTCACATGCTATGCATGCGAATGTGTCTGATAGTGTAATCCTAGCTACCGCAGTCGTTAGCGTTAAAACGAGAAGTAGCGAGTTCATTTTGGCTAGAGCTTTACTCGATTCTGGATCACAAATTAATTTTGTAACAGACGAGCGAGCACAGTATTAGCTTACTTGGGATTGCTCAATGCAATGCAAGTAAGAAAGAAGGTTCATACAGTGGTGAAGTCGCGAGTCAATTGCAGTGAGTTCTCGTTAGATTTGTGGATTTTGAAGACCATTTCTGGTTACCAGCCTGATCATACGGTCAATGTCAGTGGTTGGAAAATCCCTGAGAACCTGCAATTGGCTGATCCACATTTTCATAAGCCACAGAAGATCGACATGCTCGTCGGAGCTGAGACGTTCTTTGAGCTTCTGTCAGTCGGTCAGATTAAACAAGGTCCGAATTGTCCGATTCTGCAAAAGACACTTGTTGGCTGAATTGTATCAGGGCGTTATACGCCGTTAAGTCATGAGAATACTCATGCTGTCAATCTGAGTTGCCAAGAAGTGTCTTATACCTCGATAGACAAAACATTGCAGAAATTTTGGTCATTGGAAGAGTTGCCTTCAGCCAAAAATGTCCGAGCAGTTGAACAGCAGTTATGTGAGAGCCACTTTTAAGATAATTTGGAAATACTGCCGTCAGGTAGATTTAAAGTAATAGCCTTTCTCCACTGGGCTTAAAAATGTCACATTTTCATGTTTTACATATTGGTGTTCCACCGGTTTTCGGTAACATGTGAGTGGCAAAAGTACTGTTTCTTTAAATAAACAGCTGATCGAGTTGCTTTAATTTACATAAGCGCCGCACAGATTTCCGTCCAAAAGTCAAATAATACAGCCCCGAAGTAGGGGCTCCGTTTAATTGACTCTATGCGAGATTTTGCCAACTTTAAATGTTAAAAACTGTGGGATTATTAAAAATTAAAATTATAATTTAAAGTTACCGCTTGCCTTCGCTGCAATATCAGCTGGTTTATGTTTACATGTATCACAACATCGATAGAAATCTCGAT